GGAGCTTTGTGTCTCGTCTGCCTGGCTCCTGGGAAACCGAATGCTCTGCCCAAGGTCTACGGAGGGGTCCTCTGGTAGCTGGCAGACAAATGGGCATTTGTTTCAAATATGAGTACTAAGTGGGGGAGGGGGAGGAATCCCAGACTTTCTGCACCAAACAATATGTGAGAAGCTTTTGTATGAGTGAGTGATGGGGGAAGAAGGGGGGCAGCTGGAAAGAGAGGGGGAATTCAAGGAGGTGGGAAAGGAGGAAAGGGAGTAAGATAGATCTGCTACTTTTTTGCCTGGTTCTAGAAGGAGAGCAGCTGGTAATAACTTACAATCAGCTTCTGTACCCACTGATTTTGCAACCATGGATTCTCAACAATCCATGGCTTGAAACATTTAAAAAATCCAAAAAGCAAGCCTCACTTTTGCCATTTTATGAGAAGATCACCATTTTACTTTTCCATTGTATATAATAGAAACTGAGCATGCAGAGGGTCCTGCAACCAAATCCCAGAAGATATCAAGGACCCATTGTGCCAAAGCACAATGGTCTGGACTGCATTTCCCATCAGACCCAATCAGCATAACCACTGGCATGAAAAGTTGAGACTTGGAATGGTCCAACCCTTGCTTTGTCAGTTATTAGAATCCAACAGAGGTTGGATGGCCATCTGTCTGGGGCACTTTGATTGTGCTTTTCCTGCATGGCAGGGGGTTGGACTAGATGGCCCATGTAATCCCTTCCAACTGTATGGTTCTATAATTCTATCTACTTATTTTGCCATCATCCATTATTTGAAAATATGTGTTTAGAAATCCAAAGAGCAAACCTTGGATTTTTCTGTGCCATTGACATTGAGCATCAGTGGGTTTTGGTGTGGGTGTGTTGGGTGGGTGGGGAGACAGGGACTAGAACCCAATAAATACCAAAGGCCCATGTTCCAAAATACATTTTTCTGGACTGCAGTTCCCATCAGCCCCAGACAGCTTAGCCAATAGAGTAGAAAGCTGAAATCTTTAGAGCCCAGCCCTTGGGTTAGTGCAATAGAATAACTTTATTTTATCTCTTGCCACCATCTCCCCGAAGGGACTTGGGGTCAGCTTACAACAAAAACAGAAATAAGATATAACACAATTAAAATACATTGCATTTCAATAATTAAATAATACAAGTGAGCAACAGACATCATAAAAACATAAGAAAATCCATAAGCATCAACCAGTAACCGAGAACAGCGGGCATGTTCAGATGTAGGAAGGCAGGGCAAGGACTAGTGCAGTACAGCTGTAAAGGCAGGGCTGGTAATGAAGTGCCTGACAATAAGTTAGGACTAGGGGTGGCGGGCGGGCTAGTCAATAAATGAACCAATTAATCAAAGGCACATTGAAACATCCAAGTTTTCAGGTCTTTACGGAAGGTGGGCAGGGTGGACACTAATCTAATCTCCCTGGGGAGAGAGTTCCAGAGTTGGGGGCCCACCACCAAGAAGGCCCGCTCCCTCATCCCCACCAGTCATGTTTGTGACAGAGGTGGGAGCGAGCGAAGGGCCTCCCCAGCAGATCTTAAAGCTCACGCAGGTTCATAGGGGAAGATGCAATTGCGAAGATAGGCAGGACCCGAACCATAGGGCTTTGTAGGTGATAACCTGTATCTTGAATTGGGACCAGATACAGCAGCCAGTGGAGCTGTTTTAAAAGGTGGTTGACCACTCCCTATAATTAGCTCCAGTTAACAACCATAGCACAAGCTCTGTGTTTTATTACATCCCATCTAGATGATTTTGGTTCCGAGGGAAACTGTACAGAAAGTTTGTAACTTTCCACAGAGTACCTAATGCTCCCGGTGGCGCAGTGGGTTAAAGCGCTGAGCTGCTGAGCTTGTTGACCGAAAGGTCGCAGGTTTGATTCCGGGGAGCGGCGTGAGCTTCCGCTGTCAGCCCTAGCTTCTGCCAACCTAGCAGTTCGAAAACATGCAAATGTGAGTAGATCAGCGGGAAGCTAACGGTGCTCCATGCAGTCATGCTGGCCAATGACCTTGGAGGTGTCTATGGACAATGCCGGCTCTTCGGCTTAGAAATGGAGATGAGCACCACACCCCAGAATCAGGCATGACTGGACTTAATGTCAGGGGGCAACCTTTACCTTTACCTACCTAATTCTAATGAGAGAAGCAGTTTTGCTGCAAGACTGGAAACATACCATGATCAAGCTTCATGAACCCATGAGTAGAAAGTGTAGTCTGGTGATTTCAATTCACTTCCCTTCCACCCACCACATAAATTAAATGGTACATTAACCAGATTAGAGATGAATAGTTCTGCACTGCATTGATAAGTCTGCCAAGTTTAAGGTATGTTTAGAGAGCAGTAACGCCTGCTGGGGCTGAAACTTGAAAGAATAACAGATTCATGAATGAACATCCGGCTGTTTAGTTAGAATCTTTCTTCTATCTGTCCTTGTGGATTAATTTCATTAAAATGCAGGCAAAGTTCGGTGATGGCTCTTGGAAAGGGCTGAGCACATGCTGTGTCCAATTCAGAGTCACTGGCCAACAATTTGCAGATCAAGCTGAATTCTGTGACCTTTATAAAATAAACAAAGAACACAAAGTTGCTTATTTTTGCACACCCCATAGAACATTCAATCTGTTTCTGCCTCTTTGGGGGCAATAGTAAGATTGTACTGTCGTTCCTAATCCAGTATGACATTCCATACTTATATTGGCCTGATTAAGGACTGGAAACTTGGTTTGGATGCAGAAATAGCAATGCTCAGTTCATGCAAAGGACTAAAGAATAACTCTTAACACTGTAAAAATAAAATAATGGATTGACATCTGAATAACCTGGAACTCAGCGAGTTGCCAAGCATTTTTGGCCTATGGAATCATAAATAGTATAGGCTTTCCAATTTTTCCAACAGTTTACACACCTATTCTTTCAAATTGGAGGTTCACTTCATTCTTGCATCTAACAAAATTGATGCCATCATACTTCACAAGGTACTTAAGAGTTCTTCTAGGATCCATACACCAGTTTAACTGCTATGGCTCAATGTTATGGCAGTCAAAAGAGTTGTTGTTTTATAAGATCTTTGGCTTTCTCCATGAAAGAATACTGGTGCCTCACTAACCTACAAGTCCCACAATGTCACAGCATTAAACCATGGCAATTAAATTGATATTGTGCCTTAAGAGACTTGAGAAACTGCAAGTCACTTCTGGTGTGAGAGAATTGGCTGTCTGCAGAGACGTTGCCCAGGAGGTGCCCGGATGTGTTAGCATCACCTGGGAGGCTTCTCTCATGTGCCCATACTGGAAGCTGGCACTGACAGATAGGAGCTCACCCCTTCTCATGTATTCAAACCAACAACCTTCATGTCAGCAGTTCAACCTGGATGGTGCAATGGGTTTAAACCCTTGTGCCGGCAGGACTGAAGATCAACAGATTGGAGGTTCAAATCAGGGGAAAGCATGGATGAGAACCCTCTGTCAGCTCCAGCTCCCCATGTGGGGACATGAGAGAAGCCTCCCACAAGGATGGTAAAACAAAAACATCTGGTCCCTTGGGCATAGTCCTTGCATACAGCCAATTCTCTCACACCAGAAGCAACTTGCACTTTCTCAAGTTGCTCCCTGACACGAAAAAAAAGCAGTTCAACTGACAAAAGGGTTTAAACAGTAATTAATGTGATGTCAAGCTGCATTAATTTTACAATGTAGATGCACCTCTGAGTGGTATTTCATTTGCTGTATTTTTCCTTTGAGGATCAGGGAGAAGAAGGGAAAAAACCCTTTCAGCACTTTCATTGTCAGCTCAGGAGATTTACGCTTCCTTAAACACACTCCAAGTGACTTCGGCAATTGTGGCTGTGTATACTTGTCTCGGTTCATCATTCGTCTCTACTTGCTTATTCACTCTTGATGATTCACTCATTGAAAAGCACTACAAAATCTATTTGTAATGCTTTTTGTAAGATGAACAAGCATGTATGAACATGAGTCTTCATTTTCTATAGTAGTAGAGTCTGAGAAACCCCAGTATCAGGGCAAAAAATCTACATAATGTCAAAGTCTGCCTGAACAGAACAGGAGTCCTATAATTAAGCAATTGAAGTCCAGCAAGATAAATATATCTTGATATTGCCTGCTGATTTCTTCCTTCCTTCTTACATTAAAAAAAAACCAAGAAATTTTGGTTAATTTCAGCAGAGCTTGACTGGAAGGATCACGCTTCTCAGACGTGTATTTAAAATTGTATTTTCTGTCAGAAGGTGGACTTAATAGATTGTGTTGTGAAGAATAAATTTATTTATTTATTTATTTATTTTCATGCATTTCTACCCCACCTTTCCCCCCTGAAGAGGGACTCAGGGCAGCCTCACAAAAGCATCACCTCGATACCACAGTATTTCTTTCTAACCTTACTGCAGTGCAGTGGATACATGCTTTGCAGAGTTTGGATTAAATCCACTTTCCAAAGGTCAATAAAACACAATGCAGTTACATAAAAGGAGAGAAACCCTTCTCAGGGTGCATCTGCACTGCAGAATTGAAGCTGCTTGGCACCACTTTAACTGCCACGGCTCAATGCTATGGAATACTGAGATTTTTAGTTTGTTTTGTTTTGTGTCAGGAGTGACTTGAGAAACTGCAAGTCACTTCTGGTGTGAAAAAATTGGCCGTCTGCAGGGACGTTGCCCAGAGGACGCCCGGATGATTTACCATCCTGTGGGATGCTTCTCCACATGAGAAACTGGATCTGACAGATGGAAGGTCACCCCACTCCCTGGATTTGAACTGCTGACCTTTTGGTCAGCAGTCCTGTAGGCTTAAGCAGCTGAGAGGGAAAAGGAAAGGGCCTGAGGCTGTTAGGAATTATGGGAGTTGAAGTCCAAAACACCCGGAGGGCCAAATTTTGCTCGTACCCGGTGTAGATGTTTTCTCAGTGGCTGCTCTGGAAGTCTTTTCCATGGAAGACTCAGCAGGACATGACACTTTTGTTTAAGCATGCAGGTGAGATCTTTTAAATAAAACATCAGTTGATGTTGAAATGCTTTATGAAATGATTTTAAGTGTCCTTTAATTTTATTTTACACGGTTTCAGTTTATTGCCTCTTGAAGCCTTCTTGAATCCAACTCTTGGAGAAAGGTAGTGTATAAATTAGACACACCAATAAATAAAAACCTGTGACAGATGTAATATGCTGCGTTCTTGGGAAAGACCTGCAGGTCCTGTTGGGCTGAATCAGATTAAAGTGGCTTTGATGAACCTCTTGTTACCTCAGGGATGCTGCAATGCCTCCGCTGATTTGGTGGATTTCTCTTTCCTCCCCAGGCTTCCTCATTAAAACATTAGCTAATCTTTTGTGGCTTCACCAGGCCTGTGCTTTGCTGACTCTGTCTAACAGGTCCCATTCTTCTTCTTCTTTTTTCCTTTGGTAGGTGTGAGTATGCCCATGAGGAAGCTAGGAGCCATGGCAAAGCCAGATGTTATCATCAGCAAGGATGGTGATAAGTTCACAGTGAAAACAGAAAGCACTTTCAAGACATCAGAATTCAGCTTCATACTGGGGGAGACGTTTGACGAGGACACGATAGATGGCCGGAAAACTCAGGTAAAGGCAGATAGGTGTGGGGTTTTAGGTACTACTCCCAGACATGAAACAATCAGGGCCAGCTAACACCTTCCAACAAAGGATTCCCCCCAAGGCAGGAATCAGTCAGGCTTTGAAGCTACAAGCCTATTCAGTGCTAATCAAGGTGGCCAATTGCAACATTCACACTTGTCTCAAGCAGACAAGAGTTTTCTCCCACCCTGGACATTTCACAGATATATAAACCCCACTTGCCTAGTTTCCAACAGACCTCACAACCTCTGAGGATGCCTGCCATAGATGTGGGTGAAACGTCAGGAGAGAATGCTTCTGGAACATGGCCATACAGCCCGGAAAGCTCACAGCTACCCATTACTCCCAGAATCTTCCTTTCACTTTGATGGCTGTGCTGGCAGAGTAATTCTAAGAGCTGTAGTCCAGAAATAATTTCATTACGCTCGAAAGGAAAGGAAACAATGGTCCAGGGGCCATAATGAGCTGTTTTGAAAAAATGTGATGATGCAGCAGATGTCACTGAATATACAGTGAAAAGCTGTTGCAATTCCAGATTGGAGCCATTCATCTTTCATGAATACTGTAATTTTCCTCCACTGTCCCTATACTGTTGGTTTGAATGGTATCAATTGCCATCTTCCACTAGGTTTTTTTTTACTACAACTCCCATCATCTTCAACTACTGGCAATGCTGATTAGGGAACACAAAATCCCAGGTATGTCAAAATGGCATTAAAACAGGCCCTGAAAAGTTCACACTTTGGGTGTAGACGGAATATAGAGGAGGATAATAGTCGTATTTTGGCACACGTGTGTGTCCCTTGGCAGTGACTTCAAACTATGAAAGGTCTCCTGATGAGACTAATTGTGTATGAAGAAAGAGTGAAGCCAAGAAAACATTTGCCACTCTGACAGTCCCTTTGCTTTTATACCTGTGCTGTAAACAAATAGTAGTGTCAGCATTCTTTATATGTCATACTTAACTATGGCTTAGGGTTGTAAGAGTCAACCTGCATTTCCCCTCTTTTTGCTAGGCTGTGAGGAAGAGATCGGAAGTTTTTACTTCCATTTTCTCCAAGCTTTTGGCCATGTTTAGGGATTATGAACACTATTTTCGAGGACTTAGTGAGTGGTTACTGTTGCACGTTATGAGGACAGATATTGTACATAGCCACTGTTTTATAGCTTGTTGGGTTTCTTAGTATCTTACCTAATATATTTAATTGGTAGGGATTTTATTGCTGTTTTATGTATAATGGGGTTAATTTTATTGTTATTAATTTTACCTTTCTGTATTTTATTTATTTATTTGGAATGTTTGTATCCTGGCCTTCTCAACCTCTGAAGAGGGACTCAGGACGGCTACCAACAGGCATTATTCTGTGCCAATACAATAGAATAACATAGCATAAAATACGATTAGCATAAATTAAAACAGTCATAAATATACATTAAAAACAGTTTGCCAGATTAAATCATTATCCAAATCAATCCACTGCCATCCACTAAAAACATTATCTTCCCCAGCTGTCAGTCTATTCTGTAAACGCTTGATCCCACAACTTAGATTTGACCTTCCGGAAGGTCAGGAGGGAGAGGGCAGATCTAATCTCATTAGGGAGGGAGTTCCACAGCCGAGGGGCCACCACAGAGAAAGCACCATCTCTCGTCCCCACCAAACATGCCTGCAGTGGCGGTGGAACCAAGAGCAGGGCCTCCCCAGATGATCTTAAGGTCCTTGGGAGTTCATAGAGGGAGATACATTTGTACAGGTAAACTGGGCTGGAATCGTTTAGGGCTTTATAGTTTTTTAGGGCTTTTTGCTGTATTTGTATTGTATTGTACTATTGAGTACACCCTGTGAGCCACCCCGAGTCCCTCTGGGGAGATGGTGGCAGGATACAAATAAAATAATAGTAATAATTAACATCTGATCAAAAAATAGAAGAGTTTACCTCCTACAGCCATACTAGCTATGCTAGGAGATTTTGGGAGTTGTTGCTCCCCAAAAAACTTTTCCTAAGGGCCCTTCTACACAGCTGAATAAAATCCAGATTATTTGCTTTGATCTGGATTGCCTGGCAGTGTAGACTCAGATAATCCAGTTCAAAGCAGACAATGTGTATTATCTGCCTTGATATTCTGGATTATATGGCAGTGTAGAAAGGCCCTAAGTTTATTTCAGTGAACAATTGCCAATCTTAACAATAGTTCACTGAAATAAACGAGTTTTATCAACAATGCCTTGAAGTTGCCTTCTTTCAAAATAGCAATTGTGAGGGTATAGCCATGGCTTGACTGAGTTCAGCTGACATGGCAAGCTGCTGTTAGTAAAAATAAAAAAGTTGAAATTTCTCTTTGTGGTTAGGCCAGAGAATGGGAGGGGAGTGTACGAACCCAGAACTTGCTATGACTCATTCCTGTATGGTTTAGAATTATTTCTGAACCAACAATTTGCATCTCAACTGCTTTAACTATAGAAAATTGCTCTCAAAGTTGTCCTTAGTGACAGATTTTTCAGCATTATGCTCACCAAACAGGTCAGTAACTGTATTCATAGGCCAAATAATAACAAAGAAAATATCAAAAATCACAACTGGGTGATTTATTTTTCTAATAGACCCATACTTTTTCTGTTACCAAAAAACACCAAAAAAACCCCTTTTTGATTCAAATGTGATAAAAGCATACCTATGGGGCCTAATGCACCAGTTTCATATATTTGGATAACAAAAGAACATGCTCTTCTACAATGCCATGGACTTATACTTGATTCATATCTCCTCCTCCATATCAGGTCCCAGACTCTGCCCACATGATTTAGTGGATTTTCCCAGGGTGTGCCCTGCTTGTGGTAAAAGCCAAGAAGCCCTGATTTGGCAATCTCAAAGCCTTCTCCTTCTAACAGGCACAAACTGATCCTGCAGCATGCATTAAGGCTGGACCTACACTGCTTTGAACTGGATTATATGGATTAAATACACTGGCAGATAATCTGGGATCAGATCCTGGGATATAGGGCAGTGTAGATCTAGTTTTAAGATTACAGGCTTCAGTTTTTTTCTCAGATATTAATTCTGATTTCAAAAGGTCTGGTTTACTTCCCAGATTATTGCAAGAACAAATGCCAAGAACATATACATGTAGGCGCTAGTGTTGTTCAAAGTAATGACATCCTGCCCAGAGCCTTTCCCTCACCTTCAATTTGCATAGTTCCCAAACCGGTTTTACATCTGTCTCTAAAGTAGTGCTAGACCTGAGTACTTCCAAAAGGTGCAGCACGTGGCATGCTATGCAACATATAATTGCAAACAAAGTGCATCTCAGTTGGAGCCAAAGAATGTTGAGAATAAGAATTCTTCATTTCTCAGGCCAGGTTCCCTCATGAAGCAAAGTAGGACAGCACTAACAAAGCAGCAAACCAGGTTAATCCGCAATAATCCCCAAGCCGCAATAAATCTTGCCAACTGGAAGGTTGATAGTTCGAAGCCTGGGTCAGGGTGAGTGCCTGACCTTTAGGCCAGCTTCTGTCTACCTAGCCATTCAAAAACGAATGTGAGTAGATAAATAGGAACCGCATTAAAGTGGGGGAAGTATTAGGCACGGCGTTCCTAAAAAGGAAAAAACTTCCAGAAAAGGAGGAAGTTTACAAGCAAAGAAAGCTCTTCAGCAAGGAGATAGAGCGACAGCACCTCCCTGTGGCCCAAACTGAGCACGGCCTCCAAAAATAGATGCCAGAAGATGGGAAAAGCCCATACATACCTCTATCTGTTGTCTGTCTTGTCATTGCACAATCAGCATTGACTGTTTGCTGTGTATGTGTTCTGTAATCTGCCCTGACTCCGTTTCGGGGTGAGAAAGGAGGAATATAAACATTGTAAATAAATAAATAATAGAATCTGAGATATTATGATAACAGTATGTGAGACCTAGGCTAGTTGAATTCACTGCCACAATCAATTCAGAAGTTCTGTAGTTACTTAGTGCAGTACAGGGATATCTTCAGTGCACCAGATATGCTGTATTGGACCCAAACACACACAATTCCTCTGACTATGACCCCATCTACACTACCATATAATGGCAACTGTATCTATTGTGTTATATGGTCAGTGTAGACTCATATAATGCAGATTGAACTGCATCAAATTGCATTATATGTGTCTACAGTGCCATATAATCCAGTTCAACCTGCATTATAATGGCAGTGTAGATGGGGCCAAAGTTACCTGAAATATTTGAGAGTTATCCACCCAGGCTTTGATCTGGATTATATGCCAGTGTAGACTCATATAATCCAGTTCAAAGCAGATAATCTGAGATCAGATACTGGATTATAAGGCAGTGTAGAAGGGCTCCAAACATCTGTGCTAGAGATTTCCCTCCTCAGGTTTAATGATCTCACTGTGGATTGTCCATGTGCTTGGTCAGCATTTAAATTTTCTGTCCCTATTTTGGCTAGTATTGCTCTTACCTGGCCAACATGAAATTTCTGTCAAATGCCACTATTGTGTTTTATAGAGGAAAATGTATGACTGTATAGACCAGTCACCAAAAAAAAAAAAAAAAAAAAAAAAGACAACAGTGGAGGGAGGGAGACAGAATTAGAGAAAAATAGATGGGCAAACCGGCTGGGAAGCAAAACTCAGAAACCTGGTTCACTTTGGTATGTGTATTCTGTCTCCTTTTCTTTTTGTGAGAGGAATGTTTCACATCCCATGACAAAGCTGTGCTTGTGAAATTTTCCTCAAATTATAGGCAGATGCTACCTGGTAAAACTGAGAGCTGATCAAGGAAAACTGCTGCCAATTTTGGAATCAGCAGGCCAGGGTCAAATATATCCAGAAATAGGTCTAACATTTGAGGCACTAAAATGTGTTTTGGCCAAAGCCATCTTTTATCCATTTTGCACAATAAATAATGGGCTAATTGGAAGGGCAGACATAGACAGTTCCCTTCCTGCTTTGGCTTGTGCAGCTTACAGCAAAATCAAAAGCATGGGAACGGTGGTTTTACCCTATCTCAAGGCCAAAGTATGAATTTGGTTTACTAAGGAGATAGCTAAGTAACAACATTCTTATTCTTTTTTACAGACCCTTATCACATTAGATGATAACAATGTATTGACCCAGAAGCAGGAGTGGGATGGCAAAGAGACCACGATAACAAGGAAGATAGAGGATGGTAAACTTGTTGTGGTAAGTGGAAATTTTTCTCCTATTTTGTACAGTGGTCAGAACATAACATGTTTCAGGCATAATAAATGTCCATCTGTATTGGTCTTTTTTTTTTGCAGCAGCAGTTTGAAGCAAGACTTAATGAATGAACCTTCTTTGTTTTCCAGGAATGTGTCATGAATGGTGTCAAATGTACCCGGGTGTACCAGAAAGTATGAAGACACGGGCTTCCATTTTGAATATGGGAGCTAATGATATACAGTTCAGTTCCAGGAACAAACTAGACGACACTCTGTATTTCCCATCTCTTCTTTCCCCTTCACCCTATTTTTCAAACATTTTTGGAGGAATCAGTACTGTATACAATTAAATTTTGAGTCCTTGATGTAACTAATAAAAACTATTAAATGTGAGAATTTCAAGTACAGATGTTATAACTGTGTTGTAATTTTAGACCATTTTCTCCACCTCTGGAAGAAGTTGTAGAAAATTCCATTAGATAAATTATGGTGTGGGAATAAATGATTAATGTATTGTCGAAGGCTTTCATGGCCGGAATCACTGCGTGGTTGTAGGTTTTTTTGGGCCATATGGCCATGTTCTAGAGGTATTCTCTCCTGACATTTCACCTGCATCTATGGCAAGCATCCTCAGGGGTTGTGAGGTCACCTCACAACCTCTGATGCAGCGAAACGTCAGGAGAGAATGCCTCTAGAACATGGCCATATAGCCCCAAAAAACCTACAACCACCCAATAAATGATTAGTTTGCACGCTACAAGCCAAGAGAATGCTGGACACATGTTTGGTGTGATTGTAAATTAGTTTTCTTAGAAGTCTAGCTGAATTTAATGGCACACCCTGGTTCTTAACACTTACACTTGGATTCACCAGGAGAAACAAGATTGTAATTCATTTGCTTATACTGGCAGTGGTGTAGCTGCCAAATGGAGCAAAGATTTATAGGATTTTGGACATGAATGATCAAAGGATTTGTCTTCCAAACATTTTTTGGACATCTGCTGTCATGAGCCATAGTTATCGCAGGATGAGTTAAGGGGAGTTGTAGTCCAATAAGATCTGGAGGGGCCACACTCTCACTCAGTTTCTATGAATAATTTTTGCCTTTGTATGGGGTGAGGAATAGCTCCTAAATTAGGGATGGGAAAAATTAAAATGTCATACCACAAATGAGAAACAATTCTTGGTGTCGCAGTAACTAGAGTGCTACATTTTGCCTACCTCTGATTTAGTGATAAGTTATGGTTGATAAAATGAGAACCTTTTGGTCATGTAAACATCTGCTTTGCTCAGTTCCTATTGTTTTCAAGTTTTCACATGATCCTAGTGAATCTTCCTCATACAGTGTTGTCAAAGGCTTTCTGGCCGGAATCACTGGGTTGCTGTGAGTTTTCCGGGCTGTATGGCCATGTTCCAGAAGCATTCTCTCCTGACATTTCACCCACACCTATGGCAGGCATACTCAGAGGTTGTGAGGTTCCTGAGGATGCCTGCCATAGATGTGGGTGAAATGTCAGGAGAGAATGCTTCTGGAATATGGCTATACAGCCCGGAAAACTCACAGCAACCCACTTCTTAATATACATATTTCCACGAACTTCTTTGTAGGCCTTTTTATTGACAACTTCAGCTTGGATTTTATGTCTTTTGTGAATGTATTGATTCATTACTGAAGGATTCATTGGGGTTTTTTTACAAGGTATGCATTTGTGTTTGAATGGGGAAGCATACCTCTTATCTTTCCTTAACTCCACTAGCATCAGACCACCTTGTGGAAAATTAGTGATGTTACTATTGGTCCCTCTATAAACAAAAATGGGCAATTGCAGAAACTGGTCTGAACAAATGTTGTCCCCATGGTAAGCTGCCCTTTCTCCCAAGTTGATTGAAAACAAAAAAGAAATCAACATCTGGTTATTATGTTTGGATCTTTGTGACAGTTGTCGGCCTCCAATTCAGACATTGCAACTGACCAATTTTGGAGGATTTCTACTTGCCCTTAATTTTTTTCAGAAGTGCCATAGCTTTGGTGGGGGGGAGGGGGTTCCATGCAAATGGGGTGTTACTGAAGCTATCATATGGGCCCTTGTTACACTTTTTGTTCTGGTGGATGCTGATTGGGCAATGCATAGCTGCAGGATTTATGCACTTCACTACAGCTTTTTGGGACACTACTGTGTAAGCATATGTCCAGTGAAGTACAAAACCACTGGAAATCTAAAATGTCCATATAAGCCTTCTTTAACCACAACAGCTGGAATCTCATCATCTGTCTAAACAGATGATGAGAATCATGGGTGGATGACTGAAGGGGATTGTTTAAACATAGATCAGTGAATAGTGACTGCCTTGGTTTATTTGTAAAATTTTTATTCTCTTGAGAAACAGTTACTCTTGAAACCTCTGGGAATTAAATAAATAGCTTTCCTCTCCCACCAATACAGCTGTTGTTTTGCTCCGCTCCCAAACATCGGATTGATCTAAATAGAATTCTGTCCCAACACTGGTTTAAAATTATACATTGCTTAGACATCATGTTAGCACGTAGTTTGTAGATGATCCTATGGTCACGTACCCTGATTCATTTACACAGGCAATCTTCCTAGTTGGCTTGAATTTAGGATGACATATATTATTCTTTGCCATTCTAAGAAAAGTTGGAAGAGTACACCAGCATTATAAAGAATGGTGAAGGTTTGCAAATAAATAAATAGTTTTCAAATGTGTGCTTTACCATACAACATCAGGTTCCCAAATACTAAAAATTATTGAAGAAGAAAAATCAGGGAACTCAACATGTGGAGTTTTGAAATGTGAACTGTTTTGAAGTAATTGAAGCCATTTGAAGGAAAGTTCTCTTAGAAAATTCCCCTCAGTCCCATTACTACAGTAACAACAGAGACAAAGAATATTTGACTCTAGAAATTATGCAGACTTCAGTTCTCAGATGCACCAGCCAGCATTGCCAAAGGTAAGGAACTATGTTATGTAGTCCAAAACATTTTAAGAGCCAGAGACAGTAAGTATTTCCAGGAGGAAAAGTCTCTTTTCTTTTTGTTTAAAGATAATATCATTTCATAAATTGGTTCAAAATGATTTTGGATTTTACATTTTCTGTAAAGTAACTTAGGATACAGGATTGTCATGACTAAACCATGCCAGATAGCTTTTTGTAATGGATCTTATCAGCCACACAGCTCAATTTATCTTTATTGCAACTTCTGAGTGCATGGCATTTTTTCTTTGGGCAATTGTTAGTCCCAGCTAGAGTAGACTCATTATAGCAGTGGAGTTTACATAAAGGTTGTCAAGCCATTCAACAGTTGATTCCATGTATTTACTTTACCTGGGCTAGCAACAGGAATTAAGCCATTGGTTATTGCTGTCTTGAGACCCAGGCCCCTTTCACACAGCCATAGAACCCACAAATCAAGGCAGAAAATCCCACAATATTTGCTTTAAACTGGGTTATCTGAGTCCGCATTGCCATATATTCCAGTTCAAAGCAAATAATGTGGGATTTTCTGCCTTGATATTCTGGAATATAGAGTTATGTGAAAGAGAGAACTAGAATGTAGAATAGGAGGAGAAAATACCATAGAGGCAAGGACAATTTCTTCCCTTTTTTGCTTTTTTAAAGTTTGTATCTGAGTAAATGTATGTGTCTGATGAAAGTCTGGTTCATTCCCTCTATGTGGTATCAATTAATCTGCTGTGGGGTAGGGTGAAAACATATAATGCGAGGCATGCATGTAATTCTTTGACTTCGGAGGGAGTGCCTTGGGATTAAAGGTAAAGGTAAAGGTAGTCCCCTGACATTAAGTCCAGTCATGTCTGACTCTGGGGTGTGGTGCTCATCTCCATTTCTAAGCCGAAGAGCCAGCGTTGTCCGTAGACAGTTGTCGGTGGGAGTAATACATACTTTTTCTGAGTAAGTGTATATTTAACTGTATCGCACAACTTTAGGGTGATCTAATGTTTTGGGTCCTAATGCTATCATATATAAAGAAGATCTGTTGAGATGAATGTCCTAATTGTAATTGTTTGTTCCAACAACATCAGATAGGTAAAGGTAAAGGTTTTCCCCTAACATTAAGTCCAGCCATGTTCGACCCTGGGGATTGGTGCTCATCTCCATTTCTAAGCCAAAGAGCCAGCGTTGTCCATAGACACCTCCAAGGTTATGTGGCCAGCATGACTGCATGGAGCGCCGTTATCTTCCCGCCAGAGTGGTACCTATTGATCTACTCACATTAGCATGTTTTCAAACTGCTAGGTTGGCAGAAGCTGGGGCTGACAGCAGAAGTTCACACCGCTCCCTGGATTCAAACCTGCGACCTTTTGGTCAATAAGTTTATCAGCTCAGCGGCTCCCTAACATTAGATAATAATAATAATAATAATAATAATAATAATAATAATAATACGACTTTATTTGTATTCCACCCTATCCTCCCCTAGGGGACTCAGGGCGGTTTCCCGCGAATGAAGAACACAGAAGCAAATATTCAATGCCTCAAGACAAGTACACACATGAATACATTAATGACCCACCCAATCCCAAAGCAAACTGACATTGAACAACTAATTATAACAACCTAAAATTATACAATTTTAGATCCTTCAGTCAACAGAACTTGCATAATTCCTATTATTGTGTTCTCATTTATTATGTTTGTTTATTTTGGACTGAATAATAGATGTAAGCCATATTATAGGGATGGGAATAATGCGGTCTTGCAGATGTTGGAGGACTGTAATTCCTGGGCAACCCTAGCCAACATAGTCAATAATGATGCCTAGAGCTTGGAGGCTAACATTACTAGTCCTGTGATAGGTTTACATTAAGGTCACCCTAAATGAGAAAAAACTTGAAGGTGTACAAAAACAGAGTCTCAAAACATCTGGTGGACTACTACACAGTACTATCATAGTTCCTTAATCATGACTTAGTCAATGTGTTTACTGTGCCAAAAAGAAAATTCAATTTTATCTGGCTTAATTGGATTTTGCTGATTTTGAAGTCCTCCTTGAAAGGTTTTAATGACTATTGAGGTCAACTGGGTGAAAAAAAGATTCTTGGCCTTTCATACAAGATCAATGCAAAGACAACTTAAAAACTAACAAACTGCATTGGATTGAATGAAAGACACTGCTTAATAGCCCCATGGATTTTGTACTCATGCTATCTCATTTGGGCCAAGTCTTTGATGTGATGCATGCTTCTGATCTGATTAAATCAGGATATAGAAGGGTGGTTTGTTTGGCTTCAGCATCTTAAGAAACAACTGAATAATAAACTCTGTTCTGGATTATGGAATTTTTCCTGTCTATACATCAAAGGTGTAATGCTTGGAATGCATATGCCATTGATGGACTGCAGGGTGGACAAATGATCACACTGAT